CCCTTTGATTTTGAGCTGTTGGAGGACGCTGATGTGCGGATGCATCTAACACCCGAGGAGCATTAGTGCTTCTGTGACCAGCACGAAGCCACCTACCGCATCGTGATGCTTAGCAAGAAGAGGAACGGACGTGAGTTCGAATACTGTCTGTGGAGGGTTGTCTGCGTAGCTGTCACTACACTCTGTGCCGTAGGTGACTCATGAGCCATGTCATCCTCACCGTGTCCACAGGAAAGCAGAGCCCACCTCCGTTTTCCTGAAAGAGCAGGGGAGGCTCGGAGAGACGGTGAGTGACTTGCCCAGGGCCACAAGGGCAGCACAGGGTAGAGGTGTTGCCCACGCCAGGCTGGCTGCCTGGCTCTGAGACCCCTGTTTCCAAGCACCCCCCTTTCCTGTCGCTCCCTCCTCGGGGCCAGAGCCCCCTCCCCCTTCTTTCATAAGCCCCGTCCCCTCCTGTGTCAGGCAGTCGTCACTGTGCTTGCGTACAGAGGATAAGAGCGAGGCTCAGAGACGGCAAGTGACTTGCCCCAGGTTCCACAGCCATGCGTGATGCCGACTCAAGTCTACTCCATTCCCAAACCCATGCCCCTATTTGTTAAAAATAAATAAATCCCCCAACACCCGTATGTGTAGATCACTGCCTCTGGGGTCCCCACCCTGGTCTGTGCAAAGGCTCAGATTTGCTGAGAAACCTAGAAACCCCTGATATCTAAACAGCTCCTTTCCTGCCTGAATCATCCTGCTCTGGCCCTTCTCTCCTCCCTGTTCCCTCCTGTCAAAGGAGAAATGAGTTATTTTTCCGGCCTGGGTGGTGACAGGGAGGAAGCTGGTTCCTGCAGCTCCCAATTTGGCGAGGTCTCAGCGGTGACACCACAGCCACCGCCTTCGCCGGCCGGGGGCCAGCTGTCCTCTGGCCAAGGCTGTGGCAAGGCTGCTGGCTCGCCCTTCGGGACAGCTGAGAATTACCGTCATGGCCCTCCCAACCCACAAAAATAAACGGCGCACATGTCCTCAAAGAGACCTCCTGACCACCCCTGTTACAAATTCAGTCCCCTGGTTGAACGCGGTCCCGTCACTGTTCTGCTGTATACCATGTAACCGCATCGTGTCGTTAAATAGTGACCAGTGTGAATATTTACTATTTATCTCATCCACGATGGCGAGGTCTGTGGCCGTTACAAGTGTGTGCTCGGTGAGCCTGGCCACAGCACGCTCACCATGGAAAGTGGAAAACAGCACAAACCAGAGATCTCCGGGTGACCGACACGCCACTGAAAAGTGGGTGCCTGGAGACTGCGGGAAGCCATTCCAACTGGCCCTGCCTTAAACGTGTCTGGATTCTCTGTGCACCAAGGAAGAAACACACCTTTGTCTTACGTCACTGTTGTTTTAGCCCCGTTTTTCCTGGCAGCCGGTCTAATACCAATGGATATCTCTAACCCTAAGCTTTAAACCATAAGGTCAAAGATTTAGACGACATTTGGCGAAACAAAGCTTGCACGACGAGGAGGGAGCCTGTGACCACACGGAGGGCTGGACGAGTTGGGCCACCGTGAAAAGTATGAGCCAAGAACAAGCAAAATCCTCTCCCCACATCCCCCCCTCCCTGTCCCTGGGTAGGGGCACAAGTGGAGAGTGTTGTCAAAAGTAGGAAATGCTGGATAAGAAAACTGAGCATCCTGGGGCGCCCGGGTGGCTCAGTCAGTTGACCGTCCAACTTCGGCTCAGGTCACGATCTCAAGGCTCGTGGGTTCGAGCCCCGCGTCGGGCTCTGTGCTGACAGCTCGGAGCCTGGAGCCTGCTTCAGATCCTGTGTCTCCCTCTCTCTCTGTCCCTCCCCAACTTGCGCTCTCTCTCTCTCTCTCTCAAAAAAATGAATGTTAAAAAAAATTTCTTTTTAAAAAGAGAGAGCTGAGAATCCTGAACCCGTTCTGCTTTATTCTGTGACTGTGCGGGCATCACACGTTTTGTATCCAGGTGGAAGACAAAAACAAAAACGAAAACAAAACAAAACTCGACAACGAACAAACCCTGGGATTTTCCTCCTCCATCCAGGCATCCCAGACATCCGGGCAGCCATCTCTGCTGCCCCGTGCTCGAGGACCACAGGCAGGAGCACAAGAAGGAAGAAGCGGTCGAGGGGAGATGGGATTTCCAGCCGTAACCTCTGGCCCCAGTTCCTCTGCACAACTCGTGTTTTTCACCTCCATTCCGCCAGCGTCCACTTCTCCTCGACCCCCACGTTTGCCAGACCAGCAGCAGCTGCTGTAAGTGGTGAACCGAGAGTTCTGAGGACCCACCCAAGCTCTCCAGGGTGAAGGACCTGTAGGGAGTATTGATGTCTCTGGGAGCCCAGAATAGAGTGGTGACTGCAGTCCCATATTTGCTTCCCATGCTTATCAGGAGTGAGTCAGACTCTCCTCCCTGAAGGGGACCGGAAGAACTTACTTCTGGTTCCACACCGGCCC